ATTTTGTTGTATTTATCCGCGACACCTTAAAGGCCGGTCCGTGAAAATATTGTCGGGCACAAACCGGTCCGTGGCCCAAAAAAGGTTGGGGACCGCTGAATTAAAACACCAGGAAAAGAATTGTGGACCTCCATAAGTGTGGCTCAATTTTGAATACAATTTGGGTGCCATTTTAAATTAAGAAATACATATGATTTATCTCGGTACTCTTAAATTTAACAAATAAAATTTTTATATTTATCAATCTAAAAAATAGGGAGGGCGGTGTGCATTGTCAGGGCGATGGCATCCTCTATGGCTCTGTTTGTCCGACAGCCGAACTGAAGAGGGTCCAGTGTGTCAGGAAGGGAGGAGCAGATGTGACCTTTGACCAGCCGCTCAAGGCACTTCATGATGAGGGATGTCAGTGCAACAGGGCGGTATTCATTCAGACAGAGAGTTTATTTATTTTGTCTTTTGATATTGTCATATTCTAGCTTTACTCTCAGTTGTCTGTATTTTATTTTAATTGTATTTTTAATTATTTTTATTTATTACATACCACGTGTTTACATTCAGAATACAAAAAAGACAAAACATTGCCAATGTGATCAGTTGTCCACTATTAAAAACTTTCTAATTAGTCTTCCCAGACAAACACAGAAATTCCTGAAACAAGCGGTTAAAAAACTTGTTTTTCTTTATAGTGGGTTAGATTTGGTAGATGTTTGGTTAATGCATGGTGTTTGTGAACGCAGCATGAACATTCACGCCTAATGTAAGCAGCTGTAGCCTACTCCCATTTCCTGGCAACTTGCACTCATTCCTGTAGAGGGTGGCGAAGATCACAAGTTGTCTTTAAGTATTGCAGATCACATTCTTTTGTCCTGCCAATTGCTTAAAGCTTTGTAACTGTAAAAGGGTGGTAAGTAGGATCCTGACTGTCTGCAGTTTGGCTTAAAGTAGCGTGAACCTTGGCTGACTATTTTCTTTCTCTTGTTAAAGGCCTACACACTGCTGCTGTCTTGTTGTAGCCTGGTTTTTGCTTTGTTGCTGTCGTGTTGATTGGCATTTGTTCATTGTTTTATAGCGTTTCAGTGTGAACTGTTTGTTATATTTTAATCAAGCTTTTAAAAGGACCTGTATCTTAAAGGCTGTGTGTGTGTGTGTGTGTGTCGTGTGTGTTTACTCCTTTTTCTTTTGTATCTTATTTACTGGGTTGTTTTTATATTGCTTTATTTATAATTTAAATCTTTTCTTGAGTGGAGACACCGCCAATGCTGGGGCAGAGGCTAGGCACGTGTGGTGGAATTCCCTTTTATGCCTGTGAATGTACACACCGGGAAGCAAGTATAATGCACCATTTAAGTTGCAGTGAGAGTGGCAGTGAGGATTGCAGAGAGACTGCAACCTTAGGAACTCCTCAGTGTA